TTTAACATTTTATTTTTAAAAAATTTTTGGTGAAATTATTTTAATAATTTCTACTGTAGAAATATTATAATTTCACCTCCATCTATACTCATGCATAAAATAAAACAAAACTTGTCCGTAAAATACCTGTTCTTCAAAGTTGATAGGTGCCTTTTGACGATGAGCATTTTTGTCGACCAGAAGCTTTGCCTGTATAAATAAATTTGTATTAGTATATTCTATTTACAATATAATTATGCATATTGGTTTTAAAAGGTTCAAAAATATAATAAATTTACATACCACGATTGAATAATTATTTCGCAAAATATCTCTTTTGCGATTAGCAAGTTGTGAACCGATTACTGCCCCATATTTAGTGTGCAATTTACCATATTTGTAGATTTTGTTATTTGTTATCTGGTATTTTATTCCATCTTAGTTATTATTTAATAAATATATGTACATATGGGCCACAGACTTTTGAATATTACCTTAATATGGTTAAACACCAAACCAAGTGCAGTTGTGTAGTATTGCTTAATCTTATGAACTTCAGTTGTTGTCATCACATATTCTTTGAATAATGAATATAATTTTTCTTCATTAGTTGAAGGGCTAAAAACACATTTTAATGACCAGGCCTGAGGTTCCTCTGCAAAAATTTTCTGATCATATCTAGCATAATATTGCAGGTGTGCAAACTGTGTCTACAACGTTACTTGATTTACTAAGTTTACATATGGGCTCTGCTGAGAGCGAACTAGAGGTATTAGCATTCTACATAGCCTTTCCATCGGATATTGCCATGTTGCCCAAGGTGGTCCTATCTCAAAAATTGATTCAGCGATATGTAAAAGGTAATGAAAGCTGATAAGTGTTGCTTGAAGCCGCTCAGGTTCTCTTCAGTAATATTCTCTATGTTTGTAATTGTAATTAAAATTTGAAAAAAAGTAATATTTAATAATCGATATGAAGTAGCTTAATAATAAGTTTGAAGAATTTCTGAAGTGATGGAATAAAGTTAGTCATACGCTTTTATAGTTTTTCTAAATACAACAATCTAAATATGAATTGCGACAGATTTTTAGTTTATTTTGTGTTATTATTTAAATTAAATTTTTATTTGCTCAATTTATTTAAATAGAATAACAAGAAAATCAGCAAATATATAATAAAAGTGCAAATTGTTAAATTTTATATCTTCATTTACATAAATTCCAACCCATATCAGCAGATTTGTGAAATTGAATTTTTTTAAATCTGTAAAATGCATTCTAAATTTAATGACTAAAAAATATATGTTGCTATTTAATATAAATTTTTATTAACATGTAATTAACAATAATATACAAAGGTTTTGTACCATTATTGTCAATTACTTCTTAAATTGTTTTATATACCCATAAATCCAATTTCGTGAATCTGCTGATATACAATTAATATAATAAAAAATCTTTATAAAATATAAGGCTAAAATATTATTCCACAAAAAGACACTTACCGTTCATAATAATTAACGAAGCTTATAAATAGTTCCTTTATTTCTTGAAGTTCTTTCTTGGAAATAATTGGTTCAAGACACAATTGGACCGCTTTAACAAATTTTGCCTACCCATTCATATGCCTATAATTAGAAAGTAAAAAGACAACTATAGTTACAAAAATATCCCAAATCTGACAAATAATGTATAGTCCAAATTTGTTTTTCATATGTTTCAATAAGTTCAACCCGATTTTAATATATGAAAAATAAATCCAAACCAACTTCTAAATTTAACATTAAAAAACATTAAAAAAAATTTGATACTTTGTAGAAAGGCACTCTTGAAAAAGTGGAAGTGAATATAAAACCATCCAATTGTACCAGTCTTCAGCTTTTAGAGTATTATAATATTTTTGAATATTTATCGGTAGTCTTCCAAACTCTAACAGCATCATCCTACGATTAAGTTTGACTATCCTTCCGATTTCATTCCAATTCTTTGTTGTAATTTTATATTCCATATCATTAAGTTTTTCATCATTAAAAAATTTACCAGCAAAGTGTCGAAACATATGTTGTATAGTATTCTCAAAAAGAGCGTGCATGATATCTATGGGGAACGATGATGGAAAGCTAATTGAACATAATTCAAATAAAACACTACATCCATTTACACCTGTTTCATGTTCTATCTTATGTCGCTTACTTCCACTTTTGTTTTCTAATGCTTTAATGTCTTAAAGATAATTGATATGAGATCACATTGGTAATTTGTTTGGATTATATGTCGTACCATCATATCCTTTGGATAGTGAAAGCAGAAAATACACATAACGGGCTGTTTCAGAATAAGTTCTATGAAAGTAACAAAAGCAGCATCCACTATAAGCATTGTGTCCAGAGATACACATGATCTTGGACAAAGCTGGAATATCTTCAGACCATGATAATATATGACCTCGCAATACAAATGTCTCTTGTGATAATACATCGTAGCATGATATACCTGCTATTAAATTTTTTTTTATTAGTTTATTCTGTTATAAATTTAAGCTTATATTTCATCAACATTAAAACCTATAGTAGACCTATACATGGGTGTCTAAATTACTTTAATAAATAATTATTTTCACAATTAATCTTGAAATTAATTTTCTGTAATTGGTGAAATTAATTTTTATAAGTGGTGAAATTACTGGTGAAATGATTTGAATTTCTTAGATAAAATGCATTAATGGTGTAATTATTTGTAAAGCTCATATATAAAATATGACAATAGCAAAGTTTTTGGCAAAATTGCCCTTTTTTCAAAATCATTTAGACACCCATGTATGAGTAGACCTCGGTATAGTACATTGTTAAGAGCTTATATCATATAAAATTTGGAATAACAGGCAATCTAAATTTGGAAAAAGCCATATTTAATTAAAGATCTTGCACTTTGCACTGGGTCTAATATATAGGGATCTACTATCACAGTTTATGAGATGTGATTTTTTTGATTCTTAATATAAGTTTAATATAGATAATTAAATTTAACTTCAAGACACTTTAATTCATCTACAAGCAGCTTTAAGAAACTATTAAAGTCTTTTGATGATTTTGAACCAGGAATAATTGCAGTTATCATCAAGTTTTCCTTCTTTACTCTTTGATCTGGAGGTAGATTCACATTCAAAAGTAAAACGATCCAGCAATTATTTTGCTTTTTTTTAAACAATTGATAACCGTCTGTTGATGCAATCAATGCAATGTTACGAAGATCTGTAAATAAACCTGATGCAACTAAGGACTTATACCTGTTACCGTCGAAGACATCTCCAATTACACTATTTTCAAACACATATTCTTTTCTTGAGGTGTATTCATGTCGATATTGGAGAGTTTTTGCACGTGATAGATCCTTATATTGTATTCGTAAACTGTCGATTATAGAAAAATATGCAGCAGATTTTCGGGCTTTTTTTGGTATTTGTCCGGGCACATATCGTGGCTCACTATACTTAGGACATATTTCACAATTAATATTGTTTTCACTATATGCACAACAAGAGTTCCAATACATATCTACAAGCTTTGGCTCAAGAGGGATTAAAGTTTTAAAAGTTGTTTGAAGTTTATATAGAGAAACTTCTGAAATTTTAAGTATCTTCGGAATTTCATTAAATGCTTGATTTGGCAAAAAGTATTTATTTTTAATATATAGAAGACGAAGTCCCTGAATTAAATTATCTAAGTTTTAAGGAAGAAAAAAAAAACAATAAATTCAAAAAAAAACTTTGATTCAAACTCTATTAATTACTGCACTTAGAAATAATAGATTTACTATTATTATTTTCATCTCCTAATTTAAATTCTTGTTCCTCTATTTCAAATTCTTGCTCATCCAGTTCAGATGTTCGTTCATCTAGTTCGAATTCTTGTTCATCTGGTTCAAACTCCAACACATTTCTTTCTAAATCAAACTCTAATTCCAATAAGTCACCGTTTTCTAAGGTATTAGAAGTCGCAAAAAGTGAAGACCTCTGCTTCTCCGTTTCTTCAAGATTATCCAACCCAAATACGTTCTTTTCAAAACTATTCGATTCCAACTCATTAATTGACAAATTGGAAACTAATGCTAAAGGGTTCACTAATGTAGGTGAAGGATTAAATATAAAATTTGACATTTCTGGGCTATTATAAGGTTGTATATTATCATCGTATGGATTTAAGTCTTGTGTAGTAATTAATAGAATAGGTGACATATTTTTAAAATCCTTTTCCTGTCGTCGATGCCTCGTTCGAGTAGAGACACTTACATATATTCCAACATTGTTGGATACATTTCGACAAAATGTACAAACACACAACACTTGTCTTTCCATTATTGTGTTTGATGAGTTATTATGAAAAAAAGCAATTATAAAATAAATCAAATATTGTACTTTGTGGATTAAAATACCTGCGTGATGCAAATTTTTTTTACACATAAAAAACTAAATATCGCAATTAATACATGTCACATCAGTATTCAAAGAAGGAAATTTATACTATTTGGCATGAATGGTACATTAAACTACAAAATACAGTAGTTTATACACATATATGTAATTATAAATCACTTAATCATCTTTTAATCACCGACTATAAATACTATTAAATCTTTTTTTTAAAAAAAATAAATCTTGCAAAAAATACTCATTTGTTTGCAAAAATGTCTAGTTTTAACAATTCGAATAACATGAATAATCATTCTCATAACGAATCTAATAACAATAACATAAATACAGATGCAAACCAAAATATTGCATTATTCCTTCAACTATTATCAAATCCAACTATTTTACAGCAAGCGCTTGCAAGTATTACTCAAAACTCCCAACTTCTTCCAGTACAACCTTCTTCCAAGTCTACACAAACCCTTCCTGCATTATCAAATGCTCTTATAGGAGTTGTCAATTCATCGGTAAGGCTTTATTGTTTATTATCTTACAATTTAATAAATTCTTATATTGTTATTTTTAGTTTCCACATGGGTTAGCGCAAAATCCAATTACTAAGGAAGAATGGAAACAATGGAAAAATACTAAGAAACTAGAAGAAGACTGGAAAGACTTTTTACATTTGTCTCACAATACTAACTAGACATATCAGGCAAGTTTTTATATTACATATCTCTTACTTTATTTTTATAAATAACCAAAAATTATTATCTAACTATATATATATTTTTTAATGTGCAGAGAAATTTGCATGACAGATTAGCAGCTAGCTGCCAGAAAGGCAAATATGCGTCTAAACAAGCACCGGGAAAGATTAGAAAAATTATCAGTGAAGTATGTATATTCATATTCACTATCACTATAATTCTTTATTTTATAACTATACTAAACCCTAATAATTATATTTGATTTAGTTTAAATGTAATTTTCCAACTTTTCCTGTTTCTGTTGGAGATTTTGTTTTGCAGAAAATATTCGAAAATATTATTGGAAATTGGGGTAATACATTATAATAATTTAAATATCAATATGTTACTATTAAAATAATTTGTAGTTGAAACAGAACGTAAGAACAAAATAAAAGAAGCTCGTGACCAAGGCATCGCTCCTCCCCCTAAATGTAAAAATGCTATTCCTCCTACTTCAAGGTTTAAAAAAAAACCCATAGTTCAATCTCCAGTAACAAATTCTGATATAGCTGAAACTGACGATGAAAGTGATGCCAGATCAATTACATCTTATGAAAATAATTTTTCAAGACAAAATAGTATTACTTCTACTAACACTTACATTCCTGATGATGATACACCTGAATCATCTACCATTACCTCACATGCTATTGGATCTTCAAGTTCTTTCATTCCAAACCTGTTACCAGCAAATTTCAATGTGATTGAAGTCGATAGTTCTGAAGATAACAATGATAATGATGTATCTGAACCATCTACCATTACTTTACGCACCACAAGGCCTTCAAGATCTTCAATTCCAACCCAGTTATTAGCAACAAGAAGCTCTAATACAGTTGAAGTCGATAATTCTAAAGTTGATAACAATGTATCTGGTCTACCTACCCCTATCCAATGTCCAACAAGGTCTTCACTATCTTCAAGATTTTCAACCCAGTTATCAGCAACAAGTTCTACTACAACCGAGGTCGATAATTCTAACGATGTATTTGAAAAATCTACCATTACCCCTCGCACTTCAGGATTTTCAAAAATTCAAACCCAGTTTTCAGCAGGTTCCAATACAGATAAAATCGATGGTAGTATTAATACTCAATCATCTGCTCTACCATTATCCCCACTAAAGCAGAATGGAAATAATATTAGTATGTAATTTGATACATTAGCCTCGCATATCCTGTAACATCTTTATATCTTAATGTATTCAATTTATAATAATACTTTTATTTAACATGTAGAAAATAAAAGAACTAGAGCGGATACTAAAAGAACTTCTAAGAAACAGGTCGTAGCAAAGAATAAGAAATAAGGATCACAATTATGTAAAGTGTTAGATTATTCTTGCATATTGTTTTATTTACGTATTATATATTATGCATAATTTTACTATTTATACTGAACAAATAAAGTATCTTTTTATTTATATTACATAAAAATAACCTGATAATTCATTTTATGTTTTTTATACATATCAAATAAATAATCGTTAAATAATAATAATCTGATTATATTCCTAATATGTAAAACAATCTGATTATCTTTCTAATATAATCCTAATATGTAAAATAATCTGGTCCTATTCCAATTACTAGTAAAATATTTTTTGTCCACATTCAGATTATTGACCCTACTTAGTATGTGAACAATCGTGAAATAATTTGTAAAATAGCAGGAAATTATTTGAATTTTGCAATGATTTTTAATAGCGATAGTAAATTCGTGATGTTTTTGGAATATTATTGTTAATAATTATTCTGGAAAATGCTCATTTTCTGGAATGAGATATGGTTATTTTCTGATTATTTTTTGTAAAACCTGAAAGTTTCTTGAATATAAACTTGAAAAAAATAGGGTAGTTTTCTGAAAATTTCCGGAATAAAAAATTCGGAATATTTCTGGAACATACTCATTATTATATTTTTTATAGGGCATACACTTCTTAATATCATCAAATCCTTCAATTTAAACATCAACTTTCATAAAGTTCAAGCCCATACAGATAAT